CCGAGCGGGAGATGCGGAGCAGATATCCTCACATGTTTGAGGCTTTAGGTATGTTTCTTGACTTGTTCGAGGACGAACGTTTTGTTTACGAGGGGGAGGATGTGATGACCCGGCTAGTCGTCTCATGAGTTACCCCTCTGTTTCCCCCATTTTTGCTTCTTATTACTTTGTCTATCATTTCTACATGTGATCAGGTTGGTTGGCTCGGGTTCGGAAAGGTTTGGTAAGGTTTGAGACACTTAGTCTCTTTTGAGGAAGCTTAAGTTTAAAAAGTCAACTGGATGTTGACTTATGTGTTAGAGGGCTCGGATATGAGTTCCGATGGTTCAGATAGCTTTGGGAGGTGATTTGGGACTTAGGAGCTTGATCGAAATATATTTTGGAGGTCCGGTGTAGATTTAGGCTTGAATTGGCGAAATTGGATTTTTGGCATTTTCCGGTTGATAGGTGAGATTTTGATATAGGGGTCGGAATGGAATTCTGAGAGCTGAAATAGTTCCTTTGTGTCATTTGGGATGTGTGTACAAAATTTCAGGTCATTCGGACGTGGTTTGGTTGGGTTTTTGATCAAAAGTGTAATTCAGAAGATTTTGAAAACTAAGGCTTGAATCCGATGTGTTTTGGTTGATTCGATGTTATTTGAGGTGTTTTGAAGATTGGTATAAGTTTGAATAAGGTTTTGGGATATGTTTGTGCTTTTGGTTGAGACCCCGGGGGCCTCTGGATGACTTCGGATGGTTGACGGAGAGTTTGGAGTTTTAGTGAAGCTGCAGATTTTCTGCTTCTGTTGTTTCCACACCTGCGGATTTGGGACCGCAGGTGCGATGCTGCAGATGCGAGGAAGAAGGCCGTAGAAGCGGAAAAGGCCTGGGAAGGTTGTGACCACAGAAGCGGTTGGTGATCCTCACCTGCGATGGCGCAGGTGCGGCTTATGCATCACAGAAGCGGTTAAAGGACCGCAAATGCGGTACCGCAGAAGCGGGGATTTGGCCGCAGGTGTGGAATCTCTGGGCCAGAACATATAAATTATTTCCTTCGCAATTTTTGACCTATTCTACCATTTCTAAGCCGGCTTTGGAACTTTTTGGACGATTTTGAAGAAGGATTTCAAGGGGAGTTCATTGAGGTAAGGATTTTGGACCAAAAACCCGTTTTGATGGTATTATTTCACGGATTAGAGCTGTAATTAATGGAATTTAAGGGTTAAAAATTGGGGAAACTAGGGCTTGGTATTGGAGACCTAGACTTGAATATTTGAGGACCATTTGTGGTCGGATTTTTGTAATTTTGATATGTATGAACCCGTGGGGAGATAAGGAATCTATTGAAGTAAAATTTATCGAATTCCGAGATGTGGGCCCAGAGGTTGGGTTTTGAAAATTTCGGGATTTATGTTGTAAATTGATTATATTTGCTTGGGCTTCGTTCCCTTAGCATATTTTGACGTCGTGATTTTGATTTTGGATAGATTCGACGCGTGCGGAGGCCGATTCGAGGGGCAAAAGCATTGCGGGCTAGAGTTTGAACCGGATTGAGGTAAGTAATGATTGTAATTGATGTCCTGAGGGTATGAAACACCGGAATGCACATCGTTGTGCCATATTGAGGTGACGCACACGCTAGATGACGAGCGTGGGGTGGTGCACTGTTGGGTCCGTCCCAAATGACTATTTTACCGCGTATTTGACTGAAAACTATTTGATATCATCTTGTTTTGGGCTGAATGCCATATTTGGGCCTTGTGCCAACTGTTTGAACCCTTGGGGAATTTTTACTGATATTTCCTCATTGTTTTGGTTTTATACTTGAACTCAGCCATGCTATATTCTACTGTTTTCATAACTCAGCCATGTTTACTCTGTTTTTAACAATTAAATGATATTCTGGGTTGAGCACCATATTTTACTGTGCCCGAGTAGCTCGTGAGATTCTGACTGAGTAAGGCCGAGGGCTTATGTTGTGAGGAAACACTGATTATAATTATGAGGCCGAGGGCCTGAGATTTGTACGCCACGAGGTGGCTTGTTGATATGAGGTCGAGGGCCTAGTGATGATGCCACAAGATGGCTTGATATTGCGCTTGGGCCGAAAAGGGCCCCTCCAGGAGTCTGTACACCCCCAGTGAGCGCGGGTACCCATTGTGATGTGAGATATAGCCCAAGGGGCTGGTGTTGTTCTATGATATTGCCCGAGGGGCGATCCTTTATGTGTTTACCTTTCCTAGTTGCCTGTCATTTACCTGCTTAATTGTTAAAAAGTCATTTCATGAAGTTAAAGTGAACTAAAATGACTTACACATCTTTACTGTTTCACTGCTTTTACTGGCTTTTACTGCTTCCTTATAGCCTGTTATGTGCCTTACGTGATTTCTTACTTCTCAGTCTATATTTATGATTTTTACTCGCTGAATTGGAGTACTCACTTAACTCCCTGCACCCCGTGTGCAGATTCAGGCGCATCAGGTCCGGCTACCGAGTGTTGATCTTTCCAGCTCAGGCGGATTCGAAGATTCTCTAGGTAGTTGCCGGCGTTCGCAGCCCAGAGCTTCTTTCCTCATCTTGTCTTTCTCTATTTTAGATTTGTATTAGAATATGTATACCTTTCTTGTATTATCTGGATTTGTAGTTGCTCATAACTGGTGACACCCCGGTATAGGGCTGTGTTGGGTTTTATTTCCGCAAACTGTGATGTTCACTGCTTACTTTGGAATTATTTATTACGTTTTAGACTTAATTCTTATTATTTAATTTCTTAAAACTGATATGGGAAAGTGTCGGTTGGCCTTGTTTTCATGAGAGGCGCCATCACAACCGGGTCCAGATTTAGGATCGTGACACATGTTTAACTAAATCTTACTCTTATTATGTTTAACTTTTTTTATGCAGGGCGGGGTGTTCATATATACTACGAATTTTATAAGTTAATATCTATTTTATCCTCTCTAGTCCTTTTCATCATCCTTTTTTCCGGTTGTTACATCTGGACGTGCATGAAATAAGAGAGCATTATAAGTTATAATGATTAGAAATTAAACAGGTGGAGGATCAAAAGTTTGTGCATGTGAAAGAAAAGACGTCACTGAAGTCTACACCGCTTAGAACTTCAAATTTAACAAACAAAAAGACCTTTTTCTTTCTCTACAAAATACACTATTTGAACTTTATTATTTTGGCTAAAGCTTCTTTTTATTTGATTAAAATAATAGTTATAAATATTTGGCCCAAAAAAAGAAGAAATACATAGTCGAAACAAATACCATTGTATCTAAAAGAAAAACAATTGGGATAAAATATTCAATTTATATTAAGATGAGACAAGGAAAAATAGAGTTGAAAAAAATTTAATTATTGTATTTGATTATGTGGCAATTCATATTGAAAAAATATCCCACATGAAAGTTAATTTTTTAAATTTTTTTCCCTTCCACGCGCCTAAATGAGAGTTGTTAAAATCAAGACCTAGGTCCATCATGTCTGAGCTTCTCATAAGGATCGAGAGCAGAGATGAAGAGAGAAGAAGAAGAAGAGAAGAGATAGAGAGAGAAAAAATTCAGCTCATTTTCTTTATTGATAAAATGAAATGTACTATCCACCTGTTATAACAAACTAACCGACCTATTACACTTAACCATCAACTAACAACTTATATACACCTTCTAGAACAGTACTAGTTAAATAGCTTCAGGTACAACTATACTAAGCTAATAATTTCTACACTTCCTCTCAAGTTGCGAATGAAAAATATTTTTCATTCCCAACTTGGAGACCAAAACTGCTTGATGTTGGTGTCTTAAAGTCTTTGTTAAAATGTCAGTTGGTTGCTCATTACTTCCTATGTGTTCAGTCTTGATTAACCCCTCTTTAATCTTCTCTCTTATGAAATGGCAATCAATTTCTATGTGTTTTGTTATTTCATGGTAGATGGGATTTGCAGCAATTTATAAGGCAGCTAGCTTTGTTATCACAATATAACTTCATAGGTTCTTTAATATCTACTATTAACTCCTTTAGTAAACCATTCAACCATGTTAACTCTTCCACTGTATGGCCATACTTCTGTACTCAGCTTCAGCTGAGCTCCCCGAAATAGTAGTCTGATTCTTTGCCTTCCATGAGATAAGAGAACTCCCCAACTTGATACAAAAACCTGTAATTGACTTCCTGGACATGGGACATGATCCCCGATCTGAATCATAGAATCCTGGAACTATCTATGCACTATTGCTTGACATGAGAAGTCCAAGTCCAGCCTGATCCTTGATGTACCTCATAACATGCAGTGCAGCCTCATAATGAGGCTTCTTTGGAGCATGCATAAATTGGCTTAGACATTGTACTGCATATGCAATGTCAAGTCTTGTGATTGTCAAATATAGAATGTTGCCAACCAGTCTTTGAAAAAGACTTCTGTCGTCCAAGACACGGTCATCAGTGTTCCCATTCACAATTTTATCAAATTTTGTGCTTGTAAGTTTCAAGTTTGTTCCATTGGAATCTTCTTGGGCTTTGATCCTAAGAGTCATGTCTCTGAGATCATATACAAGGCATACTTCCTCTAAAACATAAGGATGCCTTCTGCTGATCTAGCAATTTTAATTCCCAGGAAGTATCTCAATTCTCCAAGATCTTTCAATTTGAAGTTCTGATCCAAGGATGCTTTTGATGCATTAATCTCCTCTTGATCATTACTTGTAATAAGTAAGTCTACATAGACAAGTATAAGAACAAACTTTCCATTAGTTGTTTTAGTAAACAATGAGTAATCATATCTGCTTTGATGAAAGCCAGACTTGAGAAGTGCTTGTGTTAGCTTCAAATTCCATTGCCTAGAGGCTTGCTTCAAGCCATAGAGGGATTTGAGTAGTCTACACACCCTATTCTCATCCCTAGCTACCAAATCCCTGAGGCATAGTCATGTAAACTTCTTCATGTAAATCTCTATTCAAAAATATACTATGTACATCCATTTGGTAGATTGGCCATTTTATGAATGTGGCAATTGCTATAATAGTCCTCACTGTGGTCATTTTGGACACAGGTAATAAGGTGTCATGAAAATCAATCCCCTCCTGCTGGGTATAGCCCTTTGCTACCAGTTTGGCCCTAAATCTTTCTATCGTGCCATCGGCATTGTACTTAATTTTGTATACCCATTTACATTCTATAGGGAATGCCAGAAGGTAAATTCACTACTTCCCAAGTACTGTTTTGTTCTAGTGCTTCAATCTCAAGTTTCATAATCTTGATCCACCTATAATCTTTAACAGCTTGGCAAAATGAGGCTGGTTCAGTGTTAGAAGAAGAAAAAGCTAGGTAATGTGAGCATGTGATTTTTTCCCTATTCAAAATACTTCTATAAAATCAAAGAAATAGATTTTTCTTAATTATTGCAATTTTATAGGATTTTGTAGGATTTTATTAATTATTTGATAATTTTGTGCACGTTTAATTTTGTTAAAATCATGAAAATGCCACTAAAAATGTCAAAAATATCATGCATGATATTTACATTTTGTATTCATAATTTAGGATTAATTAGTTAATTAATTACTTTATTAAAGTAAAAATCATAAAAAATATCATTCATTTTACATTTTTAGCTTTTAATACTAAATTAGCAATTTCCTTTTCACTCATTTAGGTTTAACTAATTTTGTTAATTATTATAATTAGATAATTAGCTTAATATTTGCAAATTAGATTAATTTAGAATTTTAGTTAATTAAAGAAAAAGAAAAGAAAAACAAAGAGAAAAAGAAAAATGGAAAAAAGGTTTGTCTTAGTGTATTGGGTCAGATTTCCTTTCATCCCTAATACAATTCTAATTCCGCCTAAACCCAAAACCCAGCCTACCCGGTCCAACTCTCCATACCCCAAAACGATCCCGTATTGATACTTCCCTAATCCCAGCCGTTGATCATGGGAACTGATCTTGCTTTTTATATAAAAGCGTTCGAACCTTATGAAACCCCAGAGACCCCCCTCCCCTCACTTCCGTCTCCATCTCTCTAAACCAAATCCTAGCCGCCCTGATATCCCACGCCGGCTCCACCTCGCTCCGCCGCCCGAAAATCGCCTTACGGCGGCGGAGCTTCTCCAAACTCCACCAAATTAATACTCTGTAATTACCTTTTCCTCCCCTTTCCAAATCGCCAAACCATTTCCCTCAAATCTTCATCCAACTACTCGAATCTTAGATCCAAAATCCAAACCTAAAAACCCTAAGTCGCCCAAACAACACCAAACTCATACCATAGGACCCTCAACCTTCCCTCTCCACTGTCTTACCTTTGATTTCCCAAAAATCCCCGCCGAATTCTTCGAATCTTGAATCTTGAATCTATGATCCAGTGAACCCTAACATTTTCCCCTCTTTTGATTTTTCGGTCAATTTTTGGTTGTTTGAACCCAAAACTTCCATTAGTCAACTATTCTTGTTGAGAACATTCGATTAATGGTAGTTCAAGTTTATCTTACCCTGTTGAAGTTTGGACAAATTCCTAGCTAGTCCAGTTTTTAAAATGAGCTTAGGTGATTTCTTTCGTTTTTCTATTTATTTCATCTTTTTCATTGTTATTCTTCTTCACGTTTAATTGCCTCTTCTAGCCGTATGTTTTAGGTTTGCAACTTTAGGTTTTATTTTCTTTTGTTCACGACTGTTTAGTGTGTTTAATTGCTTTTGTTTAGTAGGTTAATTAAAGTATGTTGGAATTTTGTAATTTGAAGCTTATTGTCAATTGCATGAATTTAGCTTAATTAGGGTTCACTTTTAAGTTTGATACATAAAACGATTCTTCTGTTTCTTCCATGTTTCCATCTTATGCCTATGTTCAGTGTTTGTTTTGGGTTAATAACTTTATTCAAGATTGATTAACAAATTGTTTAGTCTATTTTTGTTAGCTATCAAAATTAGTTGTTTAATTGTTTAACTTGCAAACTGAGTAGGTTAAATTCTAGGTTTTCTTTGCAGTTTCATTTGATCCTGGTTTGATTACTGTTTAGGTGTATTAGTCGTTTAAATCTAGTTTTTCTTAGGGTTAATTAGATAAGCACTTTTATTTACTGATTAATTTAGTTTTTAGGTTTAAATTGCATCATCGTGATTCTATTTGTCATTTTGATTTGAATTTTTGATCCCTTTTGGTTTTGCCTCTGTTTGCCTTGATTTGTAACTCACCAAAAACTTGTAGGGGCCTAATTAAACTAAAAGAAAAACTTAGGAGGATTTCAGAACTATAGAAAATAAATATCTAATAGAAGAAAGTTCTTAAAATGTACCAGCTGTCCAAAATTGGTTTTAAAAGATACTAAAAAATGGATAGCTGGACATTATTCTCTGTCACAGCAGTTGTACTATCCAAAGAATTAGGGTAGAATATTCTTTGATGCTATTTTTGTATATACACTATATAAAGAAAAGCATTCACTTATTCTCACACACACTCATCAGATTTTTCAGAACCCTAAAAAGCACTAAAAAGGTTCAGCTACTATTCCATTGGTAGCTAGTTCTATTTTTCTTCCAATTTTAGCAAAAACTTAAAAAAGATTTGCTGGGATTTCTGGTTTTATGATCCAAGTCTGGTTTAAGTTGAGGTTGTGCATTGCTGTTATTGGCTATTATCTTTTACGCATTTCTTGCTGAAGTTCTTACTGTATTTTGTTCCTTACTACATCCAGGTACCTCATGAACTTTTAGTGATAAAAGAAGAAGTTATAACCTGTTATTTTGAAATTGAACTTCAGATCTTTCCTTTTGCTTATGATGTATTCTATGTATTTAGCTTTATAGTTTTTTTAAAAACTTTGTATAAAGCATGCTGAAGTTAGTGTTCTACTCTACAATATAGTTGAAATATTTGTAAGTATAGATGCTCAAAATAGTTTAGTTGTTCCATGTGATGTTTTGATAGTTTTAAAATGCTAAGTAATCACATTAGCTCATCTGGTCGTTTATTGGGAATACTGGATAAGTACTGGATATGTCTAAAGTAGGCCATGTTTGATTTTTGGGTATACTCAGTTGAAGTATTTTCGCATTTCAACAGTGTTTAAAGGAACTGTATGTTTAAGTTGCTTCATGAATAAGTTTAGGGTTTAATCTTTCATTGTTAATGGCATGCTAATAGGTTAAATTCACGATATGGTTTTGTCAGCCTATGATCTTTGTCCAGAAATTTTGTATTGTTTTGTGTACATATGACTTAGAGGATATTAGCCTCAATTGGGCCTTAATGTCAAAGGCCCTTTTACGTAGTTCCAGTATTTATGTGGTTCCTTCTTGTTATATGTAAAAATAAAGGGAATCAGGCCTCATTGGAGCCTAAACATTGCAGGTCCTCTTGTTAAAATAGTTGGGCCTGATGTTGGCCCAGGTGAGACAGTTTGTTAAAATCAGACTCGACGTGTACCTGTTCCATTTTTTCTTTCACTTTTGGGATCAATTTTGAGCCCAGCCACCTTCAGCAAGTTTAGCCATTAAGTTTTCTGTTTTAGTATAACAAGAAATGGATCTCTAATATTGAAAGCTTATTCGTGAAAAGTTGGGCCTGGCATTTGGCCCAGTCAAAACTGTTGTAGCCGCATGTACCTCTGTCCTCACTTCTAGGCTCAATTTCGAGCCTGTGAGCACGTGATTTTTGTTTCGCACGACAATCGCTCCAAAAAGAAATAAAAAATAATAA